ACTAGAAGCTGAAACAAAACTTAACCCTCAGATGCTAGGGGTTCACAATTATCATAGTGACCAGAATGTCAGAGCAGCAGCTCAGAGGGAGTTGTGAAGATGGTTAACAGAACATAGTGTCACTAGGGGCAAAATACACGGGGAAGCAATGAAATTGTTGCTTAACATGCATAATTAAAAGACAGAATGGATGAGCAGAAGGCTAAGGGTGGCTGCTCCAATAAAAAGTCACAATCTCTTGCCCAGTTCCTGGACCTGTACCAGTTTTCAAACCAGGAACTGAAGATTTGGCTGGGTCTCAGGAAGAAGCACTCTGCAAGACCATGTCAAGTACATATTTTAATGATTCCCCTGGCCCTTCCCCAAAGGGACTCCTCACACTTGTCTGAATGACCGTACACCAGGAATGTATGGTCAAAGGGGAGTACCCACATATTCTGAGTACTATTAAATACAGGGTCAGAGTTGACATTGATACTTGAAGATCTGAAGCAACATCATGTCTCTCCTATTGGAATGAAGGCATATGGAGGCCAGGTAATAAATGGAGTTACCACCAGAGTCTGGCTCACAACGGGTCCACTGAGTTCACAGGTCAACTCGGCGGTCATTTACCAAGTCCTAAGTACATAAGCGGGTCTGACATACTTCACAGTTGGGGTACCCATATATTGTCCTTGGCCTTTGGAGTAAGAGCTATCATAGTGGGGGAAGGCCAACTAGAAGTCTTTGAAACTCCTCCTGGCCGAGAGAGTAAATCTAAAACAATATCACAATCCCAGGGAAATGGTGGAGATTAATGATACCCTTAAGGATATAAAAGACACAGGAGTAATATTTCCTATCACATCTCCACATAGTTTGACCATCTGGCTCCTGCAGAAACCAGAATTAGCAGAATGATTGTAGGCTACCATAAATTCAACCAAGTAGCAGCCCCAATTGCAGCTGCCATGCCAAGGATAGTATCATTGCTAAAGCAGGATAATATGGCTTCAGATACATAGTAGGTGGCCAGTGACTTGGAGAATCCATTCTTTTCTATCCAATCAAGAAAGACAATTAGAAATTGTTAATGTCCACATGAAATAAACTGACAAGAATATGCGTGGCCACTTTAGCCCCAGGGCTATGTTAACTCTCTTATCTCTTTCATAATATAGTCCAAAGAGATGTAGATCATCTGGAAATTCTGTAGAACATCATATAGATCCATTATATCAATGACATCATGCAAGAAGTTGAGCGAGAAGTAGCTGAGCAAGGTGGCTAGCATGTTGGAGGTTTCTGCTCCAGAGCAGGAAATGAAGCCTAAGAAGAATCAGGGATCTGTCCCTTCATTAAAGGTTTTAAGGGCCCAGGGTTCTAGGTAGTGCTAGAACATCCTCTTCAAAGTGAAAGACAAACTGCTGCCTCTTGCATGCCCTACACGAAAGGAGATAGCACAGTGCCTAGGAGGCTGCTTTGGGTTCTGTAGGCAACATACCCCACACCTAGGAATATATTTCTGACCCATATACCAGGTGCCATAAAAACCTGCCAGCTTTGCAACCTGGCACAAGAAAGGGCTCTGCAGCAGGTCTGAGCTGTGGCACAAGCAGCCTTGCTTGACTCGTGGGCTAGTGGATCTGGCAAATCCTATGGTGTTAGAGTTGTCAGTTTCAGAAAAAGATGCAGGATGGAATTTATGAAAATCTTTGTAGGAGGATCACATTTCAGGCTCCTGGGGTCCTGGATCGAGGATGCACAATTTTTGAAAAATAGTTCTTGGCATCCTACTGGTAAGGAGGAAATGCTTGACCATGGGGACACTAAGTGACACAAAATGAAATGTGTCTTGTTGAGCCTACCATGTCATAAATTTGGGGTAGGCCCAGTCACAATTCATCATAAGATGAAAGTATTACATTTGGGATGAAGCACAAGGAAGACCAGGGGGTACGAGTAATCTACACGAGCAGATAGTGCAGATCTTGATGTCACCCATCACAGTTGCATTGATATCCCTCTCTCAGCTCACGCTGAAGACCAAATGGGGTAGGGAGTCGGGTATCGAACAACAAGCTGAAAGAATTAAAAACGGTTGAGCTCAGTTTACAGATGGGTTGGCTAAGTATGCGGATGAAAGCTGAAACTGGACAGTAGCTACATCAAAGCCTTACTCAGGAACAGTCATGAAGACAGAGGAGACGGACAATCTTTCTAATGGGCAGAGCTTTGGGTGGTGCACCTGGTCATCTACTTTGTGTGGAAGGAAAAGTGGCCTCACTTTAGAATATAAACCCTCTAGTAGGCAATGGCAAGTAGCCTAGCTTGCTAGTCAGATATCTGAAAAGAAAGAGATTTAGAAGATTACAGACAAGGAGGTCTCGAGGGTTAGAGGTATGCAGATATACACATCGATGTGGGCAAAAAGCGTGAAGATCTTTTCATCACATGTCAATGTCCACCAGAAGTACACATTATAGAAGAAGCACTAAACAATCAAGTAGAAAAAATTACTCAGCTAGTTGATGTTAACCTGTCTTTGTTAGTGGCCACCTCAGTGCTGGCATACTGGACACATGAATGCAGTAGTCATGGCAACAAAAATAGAGTCTATGCATGGGTCCATCAGCACAGAGCCCATTTACCACAGCTGACCTACTACTGCCTCATGTGAAGATTCAACCTGACAGTAAGAGAAACCAATGCTGAGCTCCCAATGTCATCACTCCTTTAGGAGATCAAGTCGTCACTTGGTGGAAAGTTGTCTACATTGGGACCTTTCCATCTTGGGAGGGGCAACAGTTCCATCTCATGGGAATAGATTACTTATTTTGGGTATGCATTTGCATTTCATACCCATCAATCTTCATCCAGCACCACTATCTGGGGACTCACACAATGCCTGACCCACAGGCATGGAATTTAATACAATATAGCATCCAACGAGGAAAATCACTTCACAGCAAAGGTGGTGCAGGAGGGCGCCCATGATCATGGGTTCCACTGGTTGTATCACGTGCTGCATGTCCCAAAAGCTGGTTGCCTAACAGAGCACTGGAATGGCCCACTGAGAGTGAGGTTCAAGCACTTGCTAGGAGACAATACTCTGCAAGGAGGAGGAACTGTTCCCCAGAATGCAGGAGACTCTGATATGGCTCAGGGTCCCCAATAGGAACAACACATGGGTCCAGGAAACAATGGGTTAAAACAGGAAGAGCAGCATTTACCATCATTCCCAGTGACCCACTGGGGACATAGCATTTCCCCATTCCTGCAACAACAAGCTTTGTGGATCTAGAGGTCCTAGTCCCCAGAGGTGGTAAATTCTTGCTAGGGGACACAGCAAGGGTCCCACTGAACTAAGCTTTATCTGCTTCCTGGGCACTTGGGATCTCTTGAGTTCAGTGACAAGTAGTCAAGAAGAGGAGCCAATGTCCTGGCAGGAGAAGCTAACTCTAACCATCAGGAGAAGGTAGGCTTAATGTTAAACAATGGGAGCAAGTAAGAATACAAGTGGTACTTGGGTGATCCATTTGGGCACCTCTACCTTGCCCAATAGTGATTGTAAATGGAAAAGTGCAGCAACACCTGCCTGAGAAGATTATTACCAGGGGCTCAAATTTCTCAGGAATTAGGGGTTTTGACACCACCAGTTTAATCACAGAGACCAGCAGAGGTGGTAGCTGAGAGTAAAGGGGATTTAGAATAAATAGTAGACAGATGCAATGAATTCAGTTGTGGCTCAAGACCAACGGCAAAAATGGGAACTGTACTTTATCCCACTAATTTCTCTAAGTTTCTCTTCAGGAAGAGAGGCCACTGGAACCCTGGAGGAACTGTTCCCTGAATGTGTACAGACAGTGGATCTACATGGTACAAGGAGTGGACTATGACCAACACAGAGATGTGCTGCTCAGGTACCTCTTCAAGAAAAGGCTTTCTGTCTAGCTGTGAGGAGCGTGGTTAGGTGACAGCCTTCAACCATTAACATTTTCAGGTCCATCTCAGGTTTTGCGTCAAGGCCATACTCTTCTTGGAAAAGCTCCAGCTAATGACTGAGCAAGACTGTGTTACAAGGGCCTAGCTATTTTATCTCTGTGTGGGACTCTTCCTCTTTGCTCTGGAGTTACCCCTGCCCCATCCAGTTTCCTCCCTCTTCCTTTCACCTTTTCACATTCTTTTTTTTTTTTTTTTTCTGAGGAAGATTAGCCCTGAGCTAACTACTGCCAGTCCTCCTCTGTTTTGCTGAGGAAGCCTGGCCCTGAGCTAACATCCGTGCCCATCTTCCTCTACTTTATAGGTGGGACGCCTACCACAGCATGGCGTGCCAAGCGGTGCCATGTCCGTGGCACCTGGGATCCAAACCAGCGAACCCGGGGCCGCTGCAGCGGAACGTGGGAACTTAACCGCTGTGCCACCAGGCCGGCCCCGACCTTTTCACATTCTTAACTCTAGCTCACTGTTTGCTTCCTGGAGGCCCCAAATGGCAAACCTAGTCTTTTCCAGCTCCATCCAGCTCCCCTAGGTTCAGCTCTAACCTTTCTATTTCTACTGATAATTGTAGAGGTGGTATGGTACTTTCCTCAGATATGGATACAAATGTTTACCAGATTCACTTCTTGTGCCCTGTATTGGTACAAATGAAATTTATTCACTATCTATTCCTACCTAACAGATCAGGAAACAGGCACACAGTGTGCAGTAACCTGCCCAAGGTCAAACATCCATGAGTATATCAACAGATTCATGATTTAAACAAAAGTAGTTGGCTCCACTGTCTTTATCTGTAATCCTTATACTCTTGCCACTAGGAAAGGGTTAGTAGCACCAGCATCCTAAAACTGTAATAGAGAAGTGTTTAGAGAAGCCAGGCCTGGTTCATACAAGGTTGGGGAACATAAAGATACAGTTGTTTTAGGAAAAGATAGTTCCCAAAACAGTAACAACTAGTATAAGTGTTAGGTTTTGTTACTATTGAAAAGTAAAGCTTAAGAAAACACTTTCATGATTACCTCTGACGTCTGTATAGACTGCTATTTCCCAGTTGGTCAGGCAATCTCCTTATCCTCACGATGTCTCGCCAGCTGGATCTTAACCTAAAAGAAGCATCATCTTCCCTACAGAATTAGCTTCTCTTCTTTACTTCACTCTGTTTATGTTCCAACATTCTCCCATTCACTTGGGCTTCATCTTGGAAATTAGTGGGCACTTTTTTTGCTTACAGGTTCTTGGTCTAACTATTGTAAAAAGTCTGAAAACCGTGTCTGCTCTTCTTAAGATTTTCACGAAAAAGCGACTACTAAGGTCTACTTTCTTGCAAACTGTAGAGAAATTATTTTAGATTAAAGTAAATTGTGGTAAATCCTAACCACTACCAGGTTTCCGTCGAACAGCCTGGATACACTCTCTGGCGCTTAACCAAAAGAACTACAATTGCCGTCGTACGTTGCGGCGTTCTCAGCCTAAAACTACAATTGCTCACGTCTTTTCCGTCCTCACATACGGTGGATGCTGGACTTTGTAGTTCCTATCAACTTATCTTTTGTCGCTGTCTTGAGAAGGGGAAAGCGTGGATGGATCGACTTCTCTGAATGTGCTATTAGCATACAGTACTTAAAACAAATTAACAGGATAACGTATCAAAGCCAGTGTAGGGTCAGGTTTTTATATTTCACGTTCCGCCTTCCTCCTACTGCCGGGGCCCGGAAAAGGGAAGTGACGTAGTTCCGGTGTAATGGCGGTGCGGTGGCGCCTCAGGTAATTACCGACCTCCGTAGACTCGCGGCAAGCAGCGAACCAGAGTAGGGGTGGCGTGTTGCTGGGCCGGGTGGGAGGTGAAAGGGACCCAGGAGTGGGTGCGGGTTCGCTGGCACGGCCGTGGGCGGCGCCGGGGTGCGCGGGGCTCTCCGGCCGCGCGGCGGCCCGCGAGGTTGGAGTGTGAGAGCCGGTCGGGCGGAGCAGTCTGAGCAGGTGGGGAAGCGGCGACTCTGAACTCCCTTCCCGCCCGCGCGGACTGGCCAGCTTCCTGGAGAGGTTCTTGGGCTGTGTCTCCGCAGTGTCTTTGTTGCTTGAATCCGGCGTGGCTCATCTCTCTTTTCGTGTGCGGTGTGTTTCGGCCGCGGATCACTTAGAGCTTCTTGAGTCACTTGGGCTTCTTAAGGCCCCTTACTTAGTGCTCGGGCCCCAGGTCATGGGAGTGGGATTAATGAACTGTAGTTAATTAAAAAATAGTGCAAGTTCCGCTCTTATGCCTCTTTCCGACGTAATATTTATTTGACTGCTTCTTTAAAATTTCCTTAGTCTTTTCTTTTTTCATTCATTTGCCCTGTAAATAATGATGCTTCCTAGTGGTTACTCCTGGGGACTCGTCGTCCCTCTTTATGTGTGCTCATCATCTGTCATCCTTTATCCTTCCATAAGTTGATCTACCTCCGATAAGGTGATAATTTACAGACTTGGGTCTCCAGTCTCCGCCTCTCTGTCGAGCTCCGCGTTTTACAATACAGTTGCATATAACGATAGTGTGTTAGTTAATTCACGGAGCCTGCGAAAACCGCTTTACCGCTTTTCACTTAATCCTCACAACAAATCTTTGAGATAAATAGAGAAGGAAAAAATTGAAGAAAGGCTATTCTAGATGCAAGAATTAGGTGATTGAAAGTGCAGTAGAGTTCCCTGTGCTTTTTTAGGTATCTACAGACTAAAAGTAGAAGATAGAAAATCAAGCGAACTTGGGATTTAGGAGTGCAGTTGCCCTGCCTCTTCTTTATCTGTTTAACCGTGTTTTGTTTTAGGATTGCCTGTGAACTCGGGAGTTAACTTCAATTATCATACTATGGAAAAGCAGATTTAGAATTGGCGTGAAAAGTGTGAGGTTTTTTTGGTGAGGAAGATTGGCCCTGAGCTAACATCTGTGCCAGTCTTCCCGTATTTTGCTTGTGGGATGCCTCCACAGCATGATTGATGAGTGGCATAGAGTCCACGCCCCAGATCCGAACCAGTAAAACCAGGCTGCGGAAGGGAATCCTGCGGAACTTTAACCACTTGGCTGTGGCCAGCCTGTAAAACTGTAGTTTTGGTCCCAAGAAGCGTTGCTCCAGGCAGCATCTGGAGGAGGAGGAGACCTTGTTGTGTTGATGCTGGGTGATGGACTGGTAAGCCAAAGATTCTAGTCTTGATTCAGCACTTATTAGGTATGTCACTTGGGGCGGGTTACCTAACATCTCTAGTCTCAGCTTCCTCGTCTGAAAAATGTGGATAATAATAATACCTGCCTCAGTGGATTGTTTTCAGGATGAAGAAAAATAATGTATATAAGGCAGTGTGCACAGTGCCTGGCAGACAGTGTTAGCTATTACTATGTTACTATTACTACTGTGATATAGTTGGTGAATTCTCTCTGAGCCTCGGTTCTTTCTTTGGTTCTGAATGTTGCCCTTCCACTTTCAAGTGCCCATGACACTTTTACGGATCGTTTCCCACCTCGTTTGCCTGGGGCTCTGAGACTTCAGTGGCCAAGAACCTTGATCTAATACCCTGGCCCAGTGGTTCTGAAAATGTCTCCTGAATCAGCAGCATCACTGTCTCCATGGAACTTGTTAACAATGTAAATTATTGGTCTTCACCCAAGTCCTGTTGAATCAGAAACTGGGTAATGGGGTGCCTCTAAGTTTCTTTTTTCCCAAACCATCCATGTGATTCTCATGGCAGTTAGTTTGAGAGCCACTGTTCTAGCCTGTCTCCATGGGATCTGCTCTGGTTCACCCTCACCCCTGCCTCCAGCATCAGATTTGCTGCTTTCCTTGCTCCAAAGTATTTGATCTATGGCCAGCCAGTATTTCCTTGTTACCACGCTGCCACATCTTTCCTCCTTTTGGATAGTTTAGCTCCAGTCACTTCTGTAATTCTGATGCTTCCTAAACTACTTTTCTGTCTTTCCTCAACCAGCTTTTTTAGCTCGGTCAGCTTTCCTAGCTGCTAAATTGTTAGAGGTTCACTCTCCTCCTTGATGATTATACATTGCCAAGTGATCTACAGGGGCTTCTTGTACCTGAGACCACCTACGAGACACACAGTGACACACTGCGTATTTATAATGCCCGTGCCTTAACTTGGACATTATTTTCTCTTTATTGCCCACTTGTCTTTAGACTGAATTTTGTGCTACCTGGTGACTTGGTATAAGTCTTGGCTGGCCTAGAGCTCATTTAAGAAAGAAGTAGTTATTGGTGATATAGTTGATCCCACTGATGACTTCGAAGGCTTCTTTGTTGCATTTTTCTGCTTTTCTGTTTAAGTCCGAGAATCCTAGCGTGGGAGGGTGATGGTCAAAGAGGCCTCTGACATATTAGTTCCAGCATACTGCTAGACTTACTAAACCTGTAGCCTAAATATTTTATCTCAGTATATACATTTCCCAAGTGGACATTGGAAGAGACATTTCAATGCCTAAAGCAAAGTGCAAACTTTCAAGGAATATTTCTTCAAAAATAATACATCAGGAGAGGAAGCAATGGATTAAAGCAAACCTTTGCTGTTTATAGCCAAGCTAATGAATCTTTCCCAGTGGACAGATATCAAAAAGATGGTATGGGCTTTCTTGGCCTCGGGACACAAGGGCTCCTGTGATTAAGGAATAAGTTAGCTAATGGGAGAGAGAGACCCAGTGGAGATTTATGTTTAACTTGACTTTGAGCTTAACTCATAAATGGATCAGGCTAGACAGAGTTCAGCACTTCCACATGAAAAGTTACCCTGTGAGTCCTTCCCTGATAGTTTTTCTGGACAACTTTATTCTAGACTTGGTGACAGGAGCCTCTGTAGTGGAACGTAGTGCTGTTTCTAGAGACTACATAAATTTCTCTGTGGAGGCCAACACCTCTAAGTGTCTCTAAAACAGAATGTGGTTCACTAAGTGGCTAGAGAACTGATCTTTTTCATCTCAATAGGGAGTTTAATTCAAGCTGCTCTCCAGGTTAACCTGCGGTCAGGACAGGTAGGGGATGGCACTCTTGATACAGTTGATGACAAACAGCTTGGTCATTCCTAGAAGTAAGCGTTGGTAGGTAGGACAAAGCTGTCTTGGTGAGCAAGTTGTCAAAATATCATTATAGGGAGTTCTATGTGGGAAGAAAGGAACAATCATCAAAAGTCCACACACACCCTTTTTAATTTAATTTTAGAATTGGAACCTAAGTGGCAGGCACTGTCCTAGGTTCTGGATGTGTAGCAGTGACCAAGAACTTCAAGGATCCAGTGTTCTCATCCAAGGTCTTTCAGGCTCTAGCTTCATGGATCTCTCGTGTTTCATCTCATTTCTGCTCAGTTTTCTCTGTGTGCCCTTTACTCAAATAACTTAGAATCCCCCAAATTCTTTTCTATCTTTGGGCCTTTTACATATTGATCCCATTGCCTGAGTGACCTTTTCCCCCTTTACGTATGGGAAATGACCTTTCTCCCCTTTCCTGCTTGTCCTTGAAGATTCAGCTTTAAGACCCACTTTCTGTATGCTCCAAACCAACTTAGTTGCACTGCTCTTTTCCAGTAGTGTTGTGTTTTTACCGTTGCTGTAGCACTTAGACTTTTCTTCCCTACCTGAGGATGGGAACTTCATCTCTCAGACCTCAGTGCCTTCTGTGCAGCTTAACATGTCTATCACCCCACCGTACACAGACACTGCCTTTAACCTCTATCCTTAATTTGTGTCCAAAGAATAGGGAGTAAAGTTAAAAAGTAGAAAGAGACTGTGACCATCCTGTTCATTCTCTTAACCTCATACTTTCTCATTTTCTCTGTAACTACTTTTCAGAACCACTTCTTAATATAAGTATCAGTATGGTTTCAACCTCATCATTTTTTAGTTCTGTTTTCCTGTGCAAGATTTTTCAGTTTTTATAGCCTCACAAAGGAGACTTCTGCACAAACACAAACTTTAACACAAAATGATGGAGGAAGCATTCAGTGGGTGATTAGAAGCACTGAAACTATTTCTTTACCACAAGGCATGTATTAAGTTAGGTGACAGAGTTATCATATAGGTTTGAAATTTAAAGTTTTGCTTTCTCTTTGTTATTGTGAAAATGGGTTTAAATTTAGCTTAATCACTAGCCGTAAGAAAACCCATAATGAAAATGTTTATTCAATGAATGAAATGCTGGGTTTGGTGAGGAAAGTTAAATCTTGTTACCAGGCAGCTGAGCTGTGAACCAAGGGA